TATATATATATATATTATTTTTTATGACGATCCTCTCCTCCGGAGACAGGACGGGCAGGCTCATCTTCCCAGCTCCGAGCTCAGCTGGTGACTCACAGAGGCTGTTCCAAGACCCCAGCCTCACGTAATCATGAAGGCCCGACCTGTGCAGACAGGCGGACAGAGACGGGTCTGCGACGAACGGTGGAAGCGATTTTAAAAAACATTTTACATGTAAAAAAAATTAATAATCATTTTTAAATGGCTTCAGCAATTTTTAAAAACATTTTTTGTATAAAAACAAAATATTATTTTATTTAAAAATCGCTTCCACCGTCCGCCTGACTGCCGGGTGGGATCGGGATTCAGCCTTCATGATTACGTGCGGCCGGGGTCTGGCAACGGCCATCTGCGAGTCCCCATCTCCAGCTTTGCAGTGACCAGCGGAGCTCTGAGCACACAAGGCTGGTATCTGGAACCCGAGCCTCCGAGTCGGCACATCGAAGGATCTTCCGCGGTGACCAGCTGAACTTGGAGCCGGGGAGATGACGTCCTGCCCGGCTGGCGCTCCGAGGCTCCGGAGGGAGGATCAGGGTAGACCAGCAGAGCTCCATCCAGCTTGCTCTAAATTATGTTGTCGGCCACCAAGCACAAAAAATGCCAACACATCAACATTAGACCAAGATGTTGTCAGTATTGTTTTAAAAATCTTCAAAATAAATCCAGCCGCTGCTCCAGTCCAAGAAATTGCAAATGGCGGATTATTGTTTTGAAAAGTTTCTGAAGGATCCAGTGACTCCGTCCCCGACTCCGCCCCCAACCAATCAGTGACCGACAGTGTTCTGACGTCACGTTTTTGTACCTCTTCGTACCGGTTAGAACCACATAGCCAAGGGTATTGAAAAAAGTAACAGGTGCTAAGTACCGGTACTAATGGAAAAGCCTCAGAACCGGGCCAAGTAGGGTACAGTCGGCCCGTACCGGTACTAATGGAAAAGGGGCATAAGTGTCCCTGTGATGGACTGAGATCTGTCCAGTGTGTCTTCTGCCTCTCACACAGTGACACCAGCCCATGGACACCAGCTCTTCATGACCCAGAAAGTAAAGAAAATGGATGAATGGATACATGACTGTAGATGATGAGGAGTGAAACTCTCAAACTGACTCTCTATTAAAGAAAATCAGGATAAAAAGATTTAACTTAAAAATATAAATAAAAGTTCTGATGTTCATGCAAGGATCTGGAGAGTTGTGTTTTGGATACTTAGATCAAGAGAGGAGCAGATTTGTCCAATGGTTTGCTAGGAACTCGTGGCAGAAAAAAACATCAGAAAGATCTTCAATTTCCACTTCAAACAGAACTTCAACTGTATCCCAGCTGAGGTGGGGGACATTGAGTCCAAGTGAGTCGTGATTTGCACCTCCATTGTTGATGCAGCTGCCTTGAACTGTGGTTTTCAGTACTTCTTGTGCTGGCCATCCTTGACCCTGATAGTGGGCACCCCGGGTGTAGGAGCCTGTCAGCCTGAAGAGTCCTACTGCTCCTTAATAGCTGGTAATAGCAAAAGGAAGCTGAGGAGTTTTTGTGGGCCAAGCGAGCTGCAGCTTCAGTTGTTGCTGAGGCAAAGGCTTGGGTGTGGGAGGAGTTCAGTGAGGCGTTGGACACTTGATCACCTTTAAGATGTTTCTGGCCAACCAGCAGATGGCTGAGATGGGGACAGGACCACTTTACTAACACAATGTATTGTGGGAGTGGAGTGTTGTTCACTGCAACCATTGATGTTATCAGACAGTGGAAGGAATACTCAAACCTTCTCAATCCTACCAACATGTCTTCCATGGAGGAAGCATAGTCAAGGGACTTAGGGGTTAGTCTGTCCATAACTGGGGCTAAGGTAGATAAAAAGCTCTGTGATGGCAGGGCTACAGGGTTGGACAAGATCCACCTTGAATTCCTCAAGGCTCTGCATAATGCTGGGCTGTCTTTGTTGACATGCCTTTGCAACTTTGCTTAGACATCGGGGGCAGTGGCTCTGGTTTTCAAGAAGGGGGACTGGAGTGTTTTGTTTGTATTACAGGGAAATTACTTTCCTTAGCCTCCCTGGTAAGTTCTATTCAGGGATGCTAAAAAGAGTCTGATCAATGGGTGAACCTCAGATTCAGAAGAAACAATGCAGGTTTCGTCCCAGTCAGGGAATACTGGACCATCTCCTTAACACTTGCCAGAGTCCTTGTATAGAAGTTTGCCCAACAAGTCTATATGTGTCTTTTGGACTTGGAGTAGGCATTTGACTGTGTTCCTCAAGATACACTGTGGGAGCATGCACTGTGAGTATGTGATTCGGGGTCCATTGCTATGTATGAGCCATTCAGTCTCAATACAAACACTACAAAAACACTTCACATTGCCAACAGTGTCGGACACCTTCAGTATGGGAGTTTGACTACATCAGGACTTCCTGTTGTCTCATACTCTGTTCATAACTTTTATGGTCAGAATTTCTTGATGCAGACAGGTGGCAGAAAGGGTCCTGTTCAGTTATTCAGTTTCTGCTATTTGGAGATGATGTGGTCCGGTTAGTGTCATTGTACCATATCTCCAATTCTCACCGGAGCAGTTCGCACCCAGGTTTGAAGTGGTTGGGATGAGGATCAGCACCTCTGAATTTGAGGCCATGGTCGTCAGTCAGAAAAGGGTGGACTGTGCTCTTCAGGTTGGGAGTGAAATTTTACTTCAAGTGAAGGAGTTCAAGTATCAGAGTTTTGTTCATGAGTGAGGGAAGACTGGAGCATGAGATTGGCTGAAGTGCGCTTCTACAGTATTGTGGACTTTGTACCAAGCTGCAAGGAGAAACTCTTTGTTTATTGTTCAGTCTATCTTCATCTATAATCCTAAACTCTGGGAAGTGACCAAAAGAATGAGATTGTGGATACAAGTGGTGAGGATAATTTTTCTCTGTAGGATGGTTGGACTCTCCCTTAGAGATAAGGTGAGAAGTTCAGGTATCCAAGAGAGACTCCAGAGAACTGGTGCAAATTAATATGGTTTGGACATCTGCTAATGATTTCCCAGGGATGCCTCCTTAGGGAGGTGATGTGGGGAACAGGGGAAAATCCAAGACACACAGGAGAGCGTATGTCTCTCAGCTGGCCGGAGAACACCTTGGATTCCTCTCAGAAGAACTAGACAAGGAGGATGTGAACGAGATGTCTGGGTGTCCCTGCTCAAGCTGCTGTCCTGTGATCTCACCTGAAGATATTGCATGGATGGATCTGGAGATCCAACCAGGAGGGTTCTTCCCACTAACAAGCATGATTGTTGACCCAGACCAGAGGAGCTGAAGATGGATGTTACACTTTCACAGGCTTGAAAGGACTTGGAACAGCTCCAGGAGTGCATTACCTCATCGGGAATAGGTGGTCAGATCTTTGTACCTCAGGGCTTAATTTGGTCTGGCATCAGCATACCAGGAGTTGAAGTCACCGAGAGGTTTTGTGTGTTTTTAATTTCTTGTTTATTCAGTTGTTTATTGTATTGAAGTGATGTTTAGAATGGCCTCTGGTTTTAGTTGTATTTGTTAAAAAAACTGCTTCACAAAAGCTGAAATGCAAGTTTTCTTGACTCTTTCAGGTCCTATCAGTCAGAAAATGTATGCTGTCCTTCCCTGTGGGGGCATCGGGGTGAGACACTCTTACATTAGCTCATCTGTATTGCGTATTGTTTTTGTACCATTAGTGCTTAGTGTATTCTTAGTTTAGCATATTTCTTAGTTCATACCTTAGATCTTACTACTGTTTTCTTTGCAATTTATACTTTTGTTGGATGTAACTGGGACCCTGTGTACACACTTTCATTCCATCACATGTAACACATGTGGTGCGTATGACAATAAAGGAACCTTGACCTTGACCTGTGTTATGTGTGACCTGAAGGAGAGTGTCAGGCCTGATCTGGGATTTGTGCTGCCCCCTTGCAGGTGGACAGTGACACCGTATGGAACGAGATGCATTCATCAGCCGCTGTCCGCATGGCTGTGGGCTCAGTCATTGAACTGGCCTTCAAAGTGGCTGCAGGGGAGCTGAAGGTAACACTTATGTTCAAAATGTTCATAAACACCAAAGTGACACATTAAATGACTTGTGTGTCTTTGTATCAGAATGGCTTTGCAGTGGTGCGTCCACCTGGTCACCACGCTGAGGAGTCCACAGCCATGTCAGTACTGTTATTCTGAAAGAACCAAGCTTTAGTTCTCCACACTGTGGTTCTAACATGTCTGTGTGTGTGTGTCTGTTACACAGGGGCTTTTGTTTCTTCAACTCAGTAGCCATCACTGCCAAGCTGCTGCAGCAGAAACTTGGAGTTGGGAAGATCCTCATTGTGGACTGGGTGAGTTGCTGTATCTATTAACAAAATATCCACTGGACAAGTTTTTATTAAGTAAATAATTGTTTAAGTGAAGGACACAGAAACGGGGCAGCTGACTCTTGTCTGTAGGTACAGAGCCCAACTATAACCACAGTGGTTTGTTTGAGATCAGATGTTTGGGAGGTGAACGCACTGAAACTTGTTCCTGTCTGTTCAGTGCCTTTCACTGACCTGATTTTGTCCTTGCAGGATATTCACCATGGCAATGGCACTCAGCAGGCCTTCTACAACAACCCCAGCATTCTCTACATCTCCCTCCATCGCTACGATGATGGAAACTTCTTTCCTGGAAGTGGAGCTCCTGAGGAGGTACACACTTACTACTGTATTTTCCGGCATATAAGTCACAGTTTTTTGCATAATTTACATGTCCTGCGACTTATAAGCTGAAGCGACATATATATGGATTTTTTCCCACATTTATAAACCATTTTTTGACTGAGATATGATCGTTTTCATTCATTCTGACTGAAAAAGAGCAGTACCACGTTCAGCCACTTGATGGCAGCAGAGTAGTAGTAGTGTATGGCATGCTGTTGTATCATGTAATAGGTAAACGTGGCTAAAATAACAAACTCAAGACAAAAACAACTGGACTTAATTTATTATACTATACTTTATTGTTTTTGTCTTGATTTTTTTATTTATTTACCATGTCCTGGATGACTGAGAATCTTAACCAGCTATTAATGACTCAGTCGGCCTGCAATAGTCTCCCCATCTTCATTCTGCTTGCTGCTTGGAACTGTCAAAACAGCTGCACCTCCCTGGTGAAATGCAGCTAATTTGACCATTAAAGTGCATTTATTAAGCAAATGTTAGACTGAGACACACCTTTGCTATTATATCGAGCAAACAAATAATTGTTTAGGTGCTTTTCTTGTTAATTTTCAGAGAAACGAGCTCCTCCTTTTTCCTCCCTCTGCACGTTCAAGGAGCACCAAGGCAGTGAAACTATTTTTGAAAAACAGCTGATTTGACCATTAAAGTGCATTTAATAAGCAAATTATTTCATTCAAACTTTATTTAGACAGGTTAATGGTAAATGGACTGTACTTATATAGCACCTTTCTATCTTATTTCAAGATACTCAAAGCGCTTTACACTACAATCTGTGTCCTCATGTACCCATCCACACAGCACTCTACTAGATCTCTACAAAGCTAATTGAACAAATCATTCTGAGACTAATCAGAGCTTTATCACATTCATACACTGATGGGACACACATCGGAGGCTATGGGGGGTTCAGTGTCTTGCCCAGGGACACTTCGGCATATGACTGCTGGTGGATTCGAACCCCCAACTCTCGCATTGAAGGACGACTGCTCTAACCATTCAGCCACAGCTACCCACATTAATCCAGACAAGGCAAATGGCCCAGACAACATCCCTGGAAAAGTGTTGAAAGAATGTGCCGATCAGCTCTGTGAGGTGCTGGAAGACATCTTTAACATCTCACTTACCCTGGAGACAGTTCCCACCTGCCTGAACACTGCCACCATCATCCCAGTCTCAAAAAACTCTACGGTGACTTGTCTAAATGACTGTTGGCCAGTGGCCCTCACCCCGATAGTTGCTAAATGCTTCGAAAAACTGGTCATGACCCACATCAAAACAAACATCAACGAGGACCCTCATCAGTATGCATACCGTGAGAACCGATCAACAGAGGATGCCATCTCCTCTGTGGTCCACACTGCGCTCAACCACCTGGAGCAGAAAGACTCTTACATCCGTATGTTCTGTGTGGACTTCACATTCGCCTTCAACACCATGATCCCCCAAACCCTGATGGACAAACTATTCACACTAGGACTAAGCCCCTCTATTTACAACTGGGTACTAGACTTCTTAACAAACAGACCACAGTTAGTGAGGATCCACAGCTTCTCCTCCTCCACCATAACCCTCAGCACTGGCTCTCCTCAAGGATATGTGTTGAGTCCCCTCCTGTTTACTCTGCTCACATATGATTGTGCAGCTACCCATCCAGGCTGTCACATTGTAAAGTTTGCAGATGATACAGCGGTGGTGGGATGCATCACAAACAATGATGAGTCCAGCTACAGGCAAGAGGTGGAACACCTGGAGAGCTGGTGCAAAGAGAATAACCTTCACATCAATGTGAAGAAGACAAAGGAGATGATTGTGGACTTCAGAAGGAACAAAAACACCTACACCCCCCTGAACATAAGAGGATCTGCGTGGAAGTGGTCTCCAGTAGGGCTTTAACAGACTACTCGAGTAATCGGCAAGTCGATTCCTAGGACATCTATCGAGATTTTAAATTTCACGTCGAGTATTCACTTGACGTCATTGTGTCATGTGATCCGCACCAGGCTACTAGTAGAAGCTACCAAATGGATTCCTCCCAGCAGATGGATTGAGAGGAGCAGGCCCAGTCATGGCAAACAGGTAGAAATGCATCAATAGTCTGGACATATTTCACTAAAGATGAATCTTCCGGTTCAACTACCGTAAGGAAACAGAAAATGAATCATCTTCCTGACTGTTTGGAGCTCGTTGCGAACCAGTGTTACACCATATTCTATGACCACCGTATATTGTGACTGTAAGGGGCGGTGTTGCATGCACTGTTGCAGGTCACAGAATATGGTGTAGCACTGGGTCCAGTCGACCGAACCAGAACCAGCTTCCTCTGACCTTGTTTCACAAACATAAAGCAAAAAATATTCATCTCAAAACCTATAAAAACCTATAAACATATTAATCTCTAAAACTAAACCTAATGCGCACCACAGCTGGCGGTGGTGCGGGGTGGTTGACCCCCCCACTGTTTTTAGTTTCGTTTTTGACGTGCTGCACGTTATTTCTTTCACTTTTGCAGCTTAATAACAACTAATAGTTTTGGTTTTCCTGTGACTTATTTGCAGTATGATCAATGGTAGGAGTATAATATACTCTCCCAATGTTTGGTTGGTCGTTTTATTTATTTTTTTGTAAATAATAAATTACCTTTTTTTGCATTTTTTATTTTTTATTTTTTCATGTTGAGATCCTATGACATCATCAACTACTCGAGTTCTACTCGAGTTTTATTATGTTAATGTTGAGTTTAAAAATTATGTAGTCGTTCAACCCCTAGTCTCCAGCTACAAGTACTTGGGTGTGCACCTGAACAACAACCTCAGCTGGAGCAACACCACCACCAGCCTGATGAAGAAAGCTCATCAGAGACTCTACTTCCTCAGACGGCTGAGGCGAGCTGGTCTGGGAACTCAGTCCTCACCTCCTTCTACAGGTGTGCAGTGGAGAGCATCCTGTGCTCCAGCATCAACGTGTGGCATGGAGGCTGCACAGCTGCAGAAAGAAAAGCTTTGCAGAGAGTGGTGAAGGCTGCACAGAAGATGTTGGAGTCAGTCTCCCCACCATCACAGACATCTACACCTCCAGATGCAGGAAGAGGGCCACCTGCATCATGAAGGACCCCACTCACCCAGCACACACACTTTTTGACTCGCTCCTCTCAAGCAGGAGTTAGAGGAGCATTAAGTGTAGAACCACTAGACTGAGGAACAGCTTCTACCCTGAGGCTGTTAGACTCATGAATCTCTAACTAGAATAATCACTGTGAAAAATCACACCATGTTGCTGCTGATCTGTTTCATGTTGCTGCTGATCTGTTTCATGTTGATGTATTCATGCGTGCTCATCTGTTCACACAGACTCGTTCATGTTTGTGTTGATGTTCGACGTAATGTTTTTATGCTATTAGTGCTTAGTGTATTTTAGTTGATGTTTTTATTAGTTCATATCTTAGATGTTATTATTACCACTTGTCCTGAGCCTGGTTCTGCTGGAGGTTTCTTCCTTTTAAAAGGGAGTTTTTCTTTCCACTGTTGCCACTGTGCTTGCTCAGGACGGGAGACTGCAACGAAGTGAAGATTCAACTTGTTTGCTGGATTCCTTAGATAGAGAACTTTACTAACTGGCTTTTATGTGAATGTTCCTGTAAAGTGCCCTGAGACAACTTTGTTGTGATTTGGCACTATATAAATAAACTGAATTGAATTAAATTGAATTTTACATTTTATTGTTGGATGTAATTGGGACCCTGTGTACAGAATTTCGCTCCACCACATGTACCACATGTGGTGCAAATGAAAATAAAGAATCTCTGACTCTCTCTCTGACTGATAACAATGGCAACAATAGACAGTCACAAAAGAGGCATGGTAAATGATCTGTACTTATATGGCGCATTTCTGTCTAATTAAGATACTTAAAGTGTTTTACACTACAATCTGTGCCTCATTTACCTATTCACACAGCACTGTTCTAGATCTCTACAAAGCTAATTGAACAAATCATTCTAAAGAGACTAATCAGTGCTTTAGATCACATTCATACACTGATGGAACACACATCGGAGGCAATGAGGGGTTCAGTGTCTTGCCCATGGACACTTCGGCATGTGACTGCTGGTGGATTCAAACCCCCCCAACTCTTGTATTGAGGACGAGTGCTCTAACAACTGAGCCACCCCATCCAAAGTTTAATTTTTTTTACAAATCAAAACAAAACAAAACAAAATAGCAACCAAAAGGACAGTCAAAAGGAAGAGTAGCAAAACAAACAAACAAAACAAAATAAACGTTGGTTACGTACTGTAACCCCAGATTCTATGAGTATAAGCGTAGCCCTTTAAGGCTGTTGCTGATGGGTTTATCCCGTTATGCGCAGCATAAGCACTGAAAAAAATTTAGTCCACGCCCACCTGCTGTGTGGGCCCCACCCGGTCCGTATAAATTACGTTAAGAGCGGGAAATCGGCTCCCAAAATAGCTTTTTCTTCAGCCATTTAGGAGCCAGTGAGGCCCGACGCTTAAAGGGCTACGCTTATACTCATAGAATCTGGGGTTACAGTACGTAACCAACGTTCTATGTCGTATAAGCTTCGCCCTTTAAGGCTGTCGCTGATGGGTTAAGGGCGAAGCAGATGTGGTCCTCGCCTCACTGGGTCCATTCGAACACAGTATGAAGCGGAAGCTTGCCCAAAAAACGTCTTTTCACTCAGCTCCCCATGTGCATAACTACGCGTTGCGTAATTATGTGCCATGCACAGACGCATGTTGTGTAACTATGCGTACTGACAAAACATGAACGCCCCGGAAAATTTTCAACGGGGAAAGGATGTTGAAAAGAAGGGGGGGGAGGGGGGGCATGAACCAACTGGTTCATGGCTGAGTAGTATAAACAGATCAAAAACAATGAACTGATTATTGATCAAATGAACTAATTGGTAACAATAGTCATGAACTGATTAATGACAATAGAACCAAAATC